TGCAGTACTTTCAGTGACCTGTAATAGGCAATATCACGTCTTTTGTAGCAGAAATAAACTGCTGCAGAAAAAGCTAGGTCCATGCAAAATGTAATGTGTAACTGCAACACTCATTTCAAATGTAGTGGAGTAAAGTGTACAGATACTCATTCAAAAATTTAGTGAAGTTGAGAGTAAAAGTTGCTAATATCTTTGATACTCGGTACAACTACAAAGTATCCAAAAAGATACTCAGGTACAGTAACTAATTACATTTACTCCAGTACTTTACACCTCTGGTCAAAGTGTATCCTTGTTGAAGGTGAACATTGTAAATGTCTCACTTTTTTTGAATACCTGTTTTCACAGTCCACACTACAAAGCAAAAATCGCATTTTCACATTCATCACTATGGTCAATTTTTGCTGGAAAAAAAACGCTGTCTCGGTGTAGATGAAAGGCCAAAAACGTAGACCCTTTCAGATGTATCCGGATTAATGTGGATTATAGCCTTAATTCTAGCATAAGACATGCATTTCTGTGATTTCAATCTTCCTTAAACACACAGATATAGACTAGACTTGTGTCTGTTTTGTTGTATAGTATGCCAAGGCCCTTGCAGAGTTCATCAGGGGTCAGTCCATCAAGGACCTGAAGGTGTGGACCAGCCACATGAAGAGGACCATACAGACAGCAGAGGCACTGGGCGTCCCATATGAACAGTGGAAGGCGTTGAACGAAATCGATGCGGTAAGCTTGTCATGCTCTATATATTAATGGTGCATGCACGTGAAATGCAAATGTCAAGAAAAATGGTTGAACTCTGGTACATTGTAAGGGTGTATGTGAGGAGATGACATACGAGGAGATTCAGGCAACCCATCCAGAAGAGTTTGCCTTAAGAGACCAGGACAAGTACCGCTATCGATATCCAAAGGGTGAAGTGAGTTCTTTACACAACACAACTGTGTTAAAATGAGCTTGTGCGAAAATGTGCACTGCTGGTCAAAAATTTGGGATGGTTAAGAATTTTTTTGTTTTTGAAAGGTCTCTTATACTCACAAAGGCTGCATTTGTTTGATCATAAAGACAGTAATGTTTTGAAATAGTATTAGCATTATTGTTATGAATCTAAAATATTAAAATTTAGATTTATTCCTGTGATGGTAAAGTTGAATTTTCAGCAGTCATTACTCCAGTCTTCAGTGTCACATGAACCTTCAGAAATCATTCTAATATGCTAATTTTATTTTATTATTAGCATTTTTTACTGCTTAATATATTTGTGAAAACCGAGATACACGACCGCTCTAAAGTTTGTGGTAAGAAAGATTTAAATAAAATGAAGAAATTAATGTTAATTCAGCAAGGATGCACTAAATTGATCAAAAGTGACAGTAAAGACATTTGCAATGTTACAGAAGATTTCGGTTTCATATAAATGCTTTTTATTCATCAAAGAATCCTAAAAAAATGCATCACATTATATACAAAAATATTAACCAGCAAAAACTTTTCAACATTGATAATAATAAGAACCATTATTATAATTAAGCACCAACAGTAATTGATAGTACTAAATCAACATATTAGGATCATGTGACCGCTTAAGACCGGAGTAACAGTTGCTGAAAGTTCAGCATTGCCATCACACAAATAAATGACATTTTTAAATATATTAAAATTGAAAATGGTTATTTCAAACTGCAGTATTTCACAATATTACTATTTACAGTAGTTTTTTCCTTTTCTGTGTTCTGCAGTCGTATGAAGACCTGGTGCACCGTCTAGAGCCAGTCATAATGGAGCTTGAGAGACAAGAGAATGTGCTGGTCATCTGCCACCAGGCAGTCATGCGTTGTCTACTGGCCTACTTTCTGGACAAAAGTGCAGGTCTAAACCAAAAACAGCCAGCAATTACTGTCACTGACTATGAAAAAAAACATTGTCACTGTCATAGCATCTTTCATGCAAATTATACATCTCTGATTTCTCCACAGATGATCTACCGTATCTAAAGTGTCCTTTGCATACTGTTCTCAAACTAACTCCATTAGCTTACGGTGAGTAGGCATAGCCATGTTTATTTCAAACATGGCTCTGTTCATGATTAGGGTCTAATTTGGGGTCTTCAGTTTGAGAGAACTATTCTGTAGATATGTTAGAGAAACAGTTATGATAAAATGAACCCAGCATGAAAAGTAGTTTTTGGCCAGTACCACCTTCTTTACTATATTAATGAAAACCCACAAAATAACATTAGAATTCCGACATAATCTGTTGAAATGATATTTAGCTGATTGGACGCAAACCTGCTACTACATGATTCTCCCTCATTACATTATTAATGAAAAGTACTACACATAATATGAGTATAGCATGTTCTTTTATGCCCTCCTTGCAGGATGTAAAGTGGAGTCCTTCTATTTAAACATCCAAGCAGTGAACACACACAGGGACAGACCCACAGTAAGTCATGAAACCCTCTGGAAAGATGAAGAATTTTAATCGCTGATCAGTGTCTAAAAGCGATTTCTTATTTGCATTCCAGAATGTGAATGTCGCAAGAAAGCCAGAAGAAGCACTACAGACTGTACCTGAACATCTATAATCATAAAAAAATCTTAAATTTGCCATTTTTGCACAATTAATCTACACATAGATTGTGCAAATGGATAACAAGGTGGGATGAAGGAATTTAAAAGGACATGAGAATATGTTTCCATTAAGATTATCAAGGTCTGCAAACACAAAAGTGGGATCCAAAAGTCTGAGACCACATCTGTTTTTTTTTCTTCTCAAAAAATGTAATGTAATGATTTTTAATTTTTATTTCCAATTCAACTCTTCATTCAAATTTTGTGGTTAATATGAATTTTCCTTACAAATTATATTGATGTATTAAATTAGAAAACTCGGACCAGAATTTTTGTGCATTTTCACTAGGGCTCTCAGACTTTTGAATTGTACTTTAGTTTTTCAAACTAAACTGTGAAAATCAAATATGTTTGTACTTTGTTGATAAGATGGTTGCATTGGCCTAATGTTTTTAGTTAAAATGGATGTTGCAACTAAAGATAACTTTGACCTTTTACTAGTTTAAAATGTTTAGTTAGAACAGGTAAAATCCCCATTGTGTTAAAGTGCATAGACTTTATTTTATTAATTTTAATATTGTGTTCAAAGATCTGGGCAATAATACCCTTTTATGCATTCATAAAGTACAGTAATCAGAAGACGATTCAGTTAGTTAACAGCACCATGGACAGCAACCAAACAAATCAATCTATATTTGTCGTCACAGTATCTCACAATACCATTCTCAAGCCACTTTACTCCTCACACTTCATTATTTGTTAGTATGTTCACGAGCGCCTGTCCAAAAACCTTCTCCAACCTAACCGAGATGTCTAGAATAAACATTCAGTATCCAAATACTTCAAATTTGGTGACAGTGATGCGGTTTTAGAACAATTTGTAACGACTGGAAGGCTTCTGGCAGCAATCTTCGGAAATGTAGGCATTCACGGGGTTAAGGGTTCGTGTTTTTGTTTTCGTGCCCCCAAAACCGTGGCGAGGCTTTGCGAAATTTCCAGTATGCACACGTGAAAAGAGCTCCCCTTGAAACCCACAAATACCTGCGCATGATTGAAACTCATTTGTCATTATAACCAAGTTATTTTTCCAGTCTAAATGAGCATCCATCTCTCTTATGGCATTATCGTGGCTTCAGTATCATTTTTAGGATCAGTTTGGAAGGGAGGGGGCAATACTGCCCCTTTTACAAACAACTTTGTGCCGTAAAATGTGAAGTTAGTGGAAGAACTTACGCACTCGCCTTACGGGCAAAACAGTGGTTTTGGCTTTACCACGCAATCTGAAAGCATGGATGTTAAACTGGATTTGACTATCCACGCTGTCTTTTTCATCCTACTTACTGTTGTTCCTTTTGGATGTGAGCATTTCGACGCGCAATCAGTTCCTCTGCAGGTATGTGTAATTGGTAATAGCGTTATTGTTCATAATTTTACACTTAAACATTATTTGCCCTATTGTTCTGTGACATTTTCCTCTGATAAGTAAAATATGAAGTTTGTCTTGAGTGACTGATAGTATTTGGCGCGACACAAACACTAAAAACAACGCCTCGTCACATGCGCGCGAAAACACACAGTCTGAATCAACATTTAAGAATTTCTGTACCAGTGGAATGTTATTTCGTTATTAGAATTTTATGTAGTTTATCTACTTATAGAATCTTTTTATATTGTATTTGGATGCTTTAGGAAACGGAAGGGAGGTAAATAACATCATCTGTTTACAATCCTTTTGGTAATTGTAATAGTCTTATTGTTTGCAACATTGTGTGTTTTAAAGATGTAGTTTTTATTGTGTGTTACACTGGAATCTTAAAAAGTTGTAATAAAGATTCCCACTAGGTTCCAAAGTATCATCATCTGTTTACAATCCTTTTGGTAATTGTAATAGTCTTATTGTTTGCAACATTGTGTGTTTTAAAGATGTAGTTTTTATTGTGTTGTTACACTGGAATCTTAAAAAGTTGTAATAAAGATTCCCACTAGGTTCCAAAGTACGTGAGACATTCAAATTGTTATTCTGTACGAATTTCTTATTGCATTCCTTCTGGGCTTTTGAGTCAAATAAGGAAAACGTAAAGAAAAGGAAGGATAACATTCAGGTGTTGTCCTTTAAGATTACTGTATTCACTTATTATGCCCATTAACAGGCTTTCAAGTCATAATTATTTAGCAACTGTTTTATCTCAAAATTTGTTTTAATAAACCTGTGTCACAGCAGGTTCGTTTAAAGACTGTACTGGAAAGTTATAGTAGCAAAGACGCATCTTTCCATATTTAGCTTTTCGTTTGTGTTTACAGCAATCTCCTGGAGATGTGGTAATATATTGGCACAGCAGTGAATTATGTGTAAATCATCCAGTGGCCTTGTGTGTACAGTACTGACATTTAGTTCCATTTCCACCCCTTTCATGAATAACTTTGATTCAGTCTATTTCAATGTAAGTTCAAGACCAAACCACTGGCATCTGAAATACTGGGAGTATTTCAAACTATTTTTACTTCAAAGGTAATTTGTGGTTGGTAATGTATTAGTTAATGAAGTTTATATGAATAATACAGTTTGTATGCATATTTAAAGGTGAATGGCACTAAGGAATGAGGTTTGTTTTGTGATGCATATATTTATAACACCTATCTGGAATTAATTATTTAATTTTATGTGACACTTTTACTGAATGTAATGTAAAAGTTCATCATACACTCTGGATAGGAGCTATCAAGAAAATAACTAGGCCTCACATATTATTTTATACTTTTTAGAGACTGAGACGTCAGGCCTCAACAGCAAGACCAGCAGTAAGTATGAGAGAAAAAAGCTATGTGTTTGCGTTCTGCTAAACTGTAAATATTAAGATAAATGCGGTGTTTTGTTTTGTTTTGCTTTGGTTTATTTTGAAATACCATAAAGCACCAAATAGTGTTCTAGCCTTTTGACCCATGGGTTCCTTTTCATTTTAAAAATATGCACAAACATGAATTTGATGCCTTAGAAACCAGATGTTTATTCGTATAAAACGCATGAGAATGTTTACATGAGTTAGAAGCAATATGAGCTAAACAATCCAGATCAGTCACTGGAGACAGAGAGCAGAAGCAGACTTAAATGATAATGTTGACATTATTCTTTGTTATTTATTTATTATAAGTTTTTTTTAACAAGATATTCTATAATCTTAAATATTTACTGTCAGACACTCAGACCCAGGATAATATCTTTTAGTCTTCATAGTTTTTAATTTGTAGATCTGGCTAATTGTGTTAATATTTGTTTCTGTCACTTAATCTTGTTTTTAAATTATATACACAGCTTCTTTGAGCATATGCTGTTGCATGCAGTGCATGAAAGGGTGCTCAGATAGACTGGCTTTTCTGTAGCCAGACCAATGTGGTCTGAATCAGTCAGGTCATCAAGTAAACAGATTGAGATGTGAGAAATCAAAATGAACATTCTAATCATACAAATTGTTCAATAAAGTCCTGTCGTGTTTTAAATGGATGTTTTTTCAGCGAATTCCTTAGCAAACCTGCAAATATTCATGTTCATGTGCACAGCTTTTTTATATCTGAGATTTTAAGAAAAATGAAAGATTTAAAAAATAAATAATGTGGCTTGGCATATCAGTGTATTATTCTGGTGTTTGTTGTGCCCTTAGCTCAAGGTGACGGATTACCATGTGCGAAGTTCTGTAGTGTCTCGCTATGCTGTAACCACAGTAGAAAGCACCATATGGAACCAACTCCACACTACTAAAGAGGCGGCCTTTGAGGTGGATTTATCTTCATCTGCATTTATTTCCAACTTTACCATGTGAGTCAAAAATTACACCACAGTCTTTGTTATTCTGGCTGTCAAATCAGTTTAAAAACAGTGAAATTGCAATTAAATTGAGTATCGTTTGGCTTAAGTTTGAAGTTTTCCCTGAATAGACACAGCAGGTTTATAATTGTACTAGTGATTTGTTGACGTGGAAAGAAGTGCTTTGTGATCAAAAGGGATTTTTTAATGCTCCGATCTAATTTACAGAAATAATTAAAGGATTACTTCACTTAAATGTTAAAGTTCTGTTATCGTTTACTTACCCACACGCTGTTTCAAAAATGACTTCATTCTCTGTTCTTCTGTTAAGAAGAGACATTTTTCTTAGAGACATTTTTAATAACCCCAGTCGTACTATTCAAGGTAGTTACATGAATGGGAACTTTCAAGCTGTAAAAATGACACAAAAGCATCATAAGTGACACTAGTTTCTAAATCTTCTGGAACCATATGATCTTTTTGTGTGACAAACACGCTTATATTTGAGACAAAAATATCAGTGTCTGGCCTCCTTGGTACATCCATGAGAAAAGTAGCAATGTCCAATGTGTGAACAATTCATTCTTTTGAGTTAGTTTAAGTCAATGAATCAGTTGATCTGGGTCATAAACCTTGAATGATTCATTCATAAATTGGACTGATCTGTTCATCTCACTGATCCAGATTCAGCGGTTCTTGAGTTAAGATCTCAAAGAAGGGGAAGATATCAAGTGAATGGCAATGTAAATATAGTCTGATTGTCACTCAGAGCTTTTGTATGGCTTGTGAATAGTCATATAGACCATATTTTTTAAATCATATTTTAAGGTGCTTTTGCATCCGTTTTGAAGCTTGAAAGCTTCAGTCCCCACTGATTGTAATTGCATGGAATACAGCGACCAACACATTATTTAGAATTTCTACTTTTGTGTTATACAGAAGAAAGAAAGTCATACCAGTTTTTGAGCCACTTGAGAGTGAATAAATAATGAAGAACTGTCCTTGTAACTTTCACTTTATTCTATCAGTTGTAAAAAAAATGTTTGTACAAATTAAGAAACATAGAAAAGGACACTGGAATGGAGCAAAAAAAAAAAAAGAACAAAAAGGACCTAGCAATCATATTTGTTAACCAGAGTAAAAGTTCCGTAAACCTCTTTTCCAGAAATGCTAAATATAAATAATTTCCCACAAATAAGGCTCCATAACAGCTTGATAAAGCACACAGGGGCTGGATTTGGAAGCGGACGTGGGTCAAAAGTAAAGAACGTTCAGGCCAGATGAATAGCAGGCTTTGTCAAGAAAACTCAGAAAGCTAATAGAGAAAATGATGAGAACTGGCTCTGTTCACTCTCCCTTTTACCCAGCAGAGTTTACCAAGGCACACGGCCAAGGTACACACGCTCACACATTTAGGTGCATATAAATACACACACATGCGAGAAGAATGCACACGTATCCATCAACAAAGTAGGGCTTCAAGTTTCAATGTACATTACAGATGTATACACACCCTCAAAAAATTCACACAAATACAGACAGACACTTCCATCAGGCTCTGTATTTTTTCAAATAGCTGCGGCAAATGTGTTTCTTTCGTGCAGTAGCGTTTGTTAAACCGTGACTGAGAGCTCTGTGTTCACAGTGTCACATGCACAGCCATCCCAGACCTCTCAGTGCCACACATACATACAGGCGCCTCATTTTCCACTGTGCTTTAAACTGTCCATTCACCCTGATCTTATTCAAACAAGCTCTTTTTCAAGGCTGTTGGTTTATTTTGGTTGGTTCTTGTTGACTTTTATTTAAATATATTTGCTTATAGGGGCTGACCTTACTTTAGCATTTTCTCAGCTTGACCCTCAT